AATTTAATTTTAGCCCTCTAACTTTAAGGTCTAGTTTAGCCTATGACCAACATCATTAAACATGCCACATACATACCTAGGTATACAATTATATATTTAATTACTAAAAATATATTATTGTATAAGGTATTTTATTACAGATTCAAATTTTAATGGCAGAAAATAAGGTATCAATAAAAATAAAATTTTAAGGTGGTCTATAAACTAATAAACTAAAAACAAATTATTTAAATGATATGTTTGGCTCACTTTATTGATTATATTACAATTTAATATAAATACCTCGTTAAATACAATATTGATAAAAATATAAAAAGATGAAAAAAAAAAAAAAAACAATTTTATAAATGTAGGTACTTATGTTTTTTCTTTAGTTAAATGACAAATGAGCACTGCTAAACAAGATAATAAAATAATTAATTATTACAAATATTTAAAAACAAAAAAAATAATAATGATAACTATTATTTAACATTTTAGAGAATATTAATTTTTTTTGTAAAATAAATTTTAAATATAAAATTATGAAAAAATAATAAAATCATTGGCAGTATTGGTTATTGCAGACTATTAAGAGACTATTAAATAAAATATATTAGTTTAATTCAGTCAATATTTGTGATAGTTTAGGAAGAGGTATGTTATATGTTGAAGAGTAATTAAAAAAATATTTTTGAATAAACAACCATACTACTAATGATTCTGGTGGATATTGCAGATTGAATAGTTGAAATATTTTGTAACAAACTTCAATTGCTCTTATAATTGAATGTACCTTATACTTAACAGAATCAAAATAAACTAATATTTCTTTAATATAAAAAATGGTTCCAACAACAAGTATGAAGGGTTGTATAGGTTTACACTGTTTCTTAAGATTTTCAAGGTGAGATTCCATCATTTCTACAGATTCTCCAAACATCATAAAACTTTCTTGGGAATCTTTTATAGAGAGCTTAATGAGGTTTTTTTTACCATTATCATCTTTTGTTACTTTTTTTGATGTTGGTGCAAACATCCCATGTAACAAATACATCAAAGCAGAATTCTTTACATCTATAAAATATAATCATTTGTTGTTTTAATAGTAGTTGTGTATTAAATGTTGATTATTGGTTAATGAAATTCCTTAGTATCATTTACCAACTCAAAATTTACGTTTGATCCTTCTCTCTCTCTCTCTCACACACACACACTTTTTACAATAATAAAAGTAAAATAAACTTTTAATAGGTACTTACTCTCATTTAAATTGTTGCCATTTTTTATTTGGTCTAATATTTTTAGACAGCTTGAATCCTTCACCTTTTCAGGTAGAATGTCATAAATTGTATCACATTTTTTTTCAAATTCGAAGTAAATATTTTGATGGGGGAATATGGCACTATAGTCTATGTCGATCTGAAACAGGTTTTGAATAAAAAGTTTTATTTATAGATTGTAGTCCATACTCAATTCAGTAGATATGGTTATTTACTACTAATACTATAATATAATGTAAATGCAAAATATTTTAAGTCTACATTATAATTCTGATAGCATTGTTAAAATAACTGATGGACAAATTTTAATTGAAATTTATTAGCAAGTTCCGTAAGAAGCCCGATTTTTGATATCATTAAAACATCATGAATTATATCATGATTAATAATACACTTTTTTTTAATTTTTCAAAAGTCATTTTTAGGACTTATAAATAAAAATTTCAAAAATCGGGCTTCTTACGGAACCAGATATAACTCTCCTCTACAATTTTGTTCATAGGTGTTTTTACGATAAAACCACTCAGTAACCCATATTATTGGAACGCGCAAACATGTTTTTAAAGGAATTTTTCGGGTGATTTTTTTTCGTGACACGTCCTCTTAAGGTAATATTTTTTCGGGATGTTGTTAATCTGGCATACATTTTCATTTCTTTATGTTTTCCTTCAAATCAAAAACACCAATACAATCGAGGAGGACCTGAATATTCTATAACAGTTGGGTAATGAACTAAGAAATGATGTTTTGGTTTTAGGGTGTCATTAAAAAGTATAATATATTGATTTTTATGTTTTGAGATTTATTGCTTTAGATAACTAATTGCATCTGCATTAAAAGTATATGATAACAAAATATCAACCATTTTAAGTAATATTAAAAAAAATGACCAAACTTCATCATTTCTTGGCACTAAATCTCCTACCATAAGCGGGAAAAAATATATGAATGTCATAACTTCCCTAGCAGACATTTTCAAATGACAATTATTCAAGTGATTAATTGAGATTTCGGGAGAAATATTACCAAACTCTATTGGGCCATAGTTAAAATTTGATTTTCGATTATTCAATGTATCTAAAGTTAATAGTTTAGCTGTGTTGATAAAATATTTAATTATATGACACATATCATAATGAAAAACACCCTCATACAAATCATGCATAGTATCCACGCAAAAATTTTGAGTTACATGAAAACTTTGGATTTGATTTAATATTGATTCCTTGTAAATTCCTGACTCAGAAAAGTTTTGGATGGCAACGTCTGTATTATAATTATCAATATTTCGCATACAACTAATGTCTTCTTCACACATTTGTTTTGACCTTAATTTATTGACTTTACAAAAACGACAAAAGTAATGCGCAGAAAAGACTTACTAAATTCTAAAATGCTATTCATACCTAAATTATCACCAAGTACTATACCCAGAATAAAGTGAACATGGAAACTGCCACATTCAGTAACTATATCCAAGCCATCATTTTCTAAGCAGTTAATTTCACAAATTAAAGTTTGCAAACAGAGATCATTTCCAAATTCTTTTAAATCTCAAGATTTAATAAGAGCGGCTAAAAAAATATTTGAAAGTTTTGAACTATTTTCTGCAAGGGGAAAGCTGTAATAAATTGTTGAAATTTGATGGAACATAGCATGTGAACCTAAGGGATTATTGATTTCAGCGTCATCAATGTAAAGAAAATATAGAATTAATATTTTATCACTATTGTGATTACATATTTTTAGTTTCCAAAGTTTACCTTGTCAAAAATTAATTATGTTATTTTCATTACTAAGTTGTAATTTTTTAAGTTTATTTAATTGATTTTTAAAATTGTGACCATGCTCAAAATATTTTTTGAACTGGAGTTTTAATGGTAATAGAGCACCCTTTGTTTGTTTTTCGTCATACACAGTCTCACCCAAGTGTTGAACAGGGCGAATTTCATTATGAATAGTAAATTGTTTTACTTCAGATATTAAATCATTAGCAACTAACCATTTTAATAAAATGTATTCTGAAGTACAAAATTGAAAAGGGTTGGACATGGCTGTTAGAATATTATCAAATTTTGACAAAGATAATGGTTCTTTAACTTCTGATTTAACAACATTTTTTAGTATAGAAACCATTGGTGTAAGTAAACTTTGAATTATACCTGATTGAATATTGCTCACATCCTTTTTAGTAAAATTATTATTATCATGTAATCCAACAATAAATTCTACAGCAGATTTATAAAAAGAATTAATAGCTGTATCAATATTAAATTTTTCTTCGACCATAGAGTAGTACTTGCAGCTTGATTCGGCAAAAAAGTAGGTTCAGTGGTATCTAAAGGTAATGGAGTTTCAAAGTGCGATGGGTTGTTAGGTAAAGGTTCTATTTCATAAGAAGTATGTTTAATAGTCATATGTCTTTTAAAAGACCCTAAACACTGAAATGTTTGTGTACAGTTTTTTTCGGCACATTTGTAAGTACTATCAGATTTAAGAAAATGAAAAATTTTAAAATGTGAAACTAATGCTTTCCAACTGTGAATATTTGCTTGACACATATAACAAATCATTTTATTTCGTACAATTTAAATAAGTTGGTACTTACCTTATGATTTGAATTTTAAGTTTTATATAAATTCACACGCACAACACTTACAACTTGAAGATTAATATTTTAACATTAATATAACTGAAACACATTTATACGCAAGTCGCAGCGACCAAATAATAACAATTGTTATCCTGTAGCTTTCCGCAGGCTGAAAAAGTATTCGGCCATTCGGGTATTATAATATTATTATTGTCATGTTAACAATTTTTTGTCACGATGAAAAGATCGTTGTTGCTTGTGAAAAAACCAGACCGTATTAAGGATGATTCACACTGAACCGACACTCGCAGACCGGCACCGGGCCGCACAGACCCGTACCGGACCGACATTTTGAGAGAGTATTCACATCATACCGTCGTACACAGACAGACAACTGATATGTAATAACTAAAATATGTACAGTTAGTAAGTTGCAGTTAGTATAAGTGCAATTAGTCCAGCCTAGGTTGTCTAAAACTATGTTTAAACACTTGTCTACTAAGCATCTGGCTATGATGGCAATAGCTTTAGATGAAGTAGAACAAGAAACAACAAAAGGTAAAAAACGTATTTGGGTGCATGAAATTTTAAAACGGAGAAAAGTAGATGGTGAATTTTATACATTATGTACGACTCTTGAAGATCACGAAGAAAAATTTTTTATTTATTTTAGAATGTGTTCATATCAGTGTAATATACTTTTATCAAAAATAAAAAATGATATTACTAAACAAAACACTCACTTTAGAGAAGCGATACCAGCTAAACAAAAATTGGCAGTATGTTTAAGGTGAGAAAATATAGAATTACTAATACATATTATTACATGAATATTCATTATATTTTTTTCAACTCATAATTAATATTAATATAAAATAATATATTTGAACAATCGTAACAATTAAATGCAATTAAAATAAAACATACCGGAAACTGAGTATATTCTAAATACAGCTTTTATTTTTAAAAATTACAATTTAATATTTATAACTTTATAAGTAATAAAAAAAACAATAGTAATTTTTAAGGTATGAATGTTGTTAAAAAGTTACCTACGTTTGATGATGTGTCTGAATCAGAGTGGTGACTTATTGAACCGTCAGTATAATCTTGTGTGGATTGATAAATTGGTTGCAACGCCGATGTATGTTGTTGTTGGTATTGTTGTTGATATTGTTGTTCATGAAGTTTTTGAGATTTTATGTGATCTAGTTCCAACTCGGAAATCACAGAAAAAACTCTTGTTTTAGCCAAATGCTGGAGATAAGGAGAAAATTGTTTCACCGTCGAACCCATATTTTGAAAAAATTGATCAATCACATTAATTTCATTTTTTTCATTTTTTTCTGTATTTGCCTTAACTTCTTCTATCTTTTCTTTTTCTATGATGTACCTCATCAAATGCGAGGACGCAGATTCTGAACTTACATGGCCTTCATTTTTTTTTCTTTTTTTGGGAGTCATAATTTTCTTTGGTGGAGGTTTACAAAATTTTGGAGATAGTTCCGATGGTGTACTATTTGTAATATTTTCTTCAGGTGAAATAATACTTTCCATTGTGATGTTGCCAGATTTATTTATTTCGTTTTTAGAATAATTTAATTCGTTTTCTGAATCGGAACTACTTTTCAAATGTATGCTGATAATACTAAAAGAAAATTTAATGACCGTCTCTCTAGAGCAAGGAAAGTAGTAGAAGATANTCAAATGTATGCTGATAATACTAAAAGAAAATTTAATGACCGTCTCTCTAGAGCAAGGAAAGTAGTAGAAGATACTTTTGGACAGCTTACTCAAAAATTTCGTATTTATTCAAGAAGAATGAAAATATTACCGAAAAATGCTGACAAAATTATCATGACTACTTGTATTTTACATAATTTTATAAAACAACATGGAAATATTGGAAATAGCACTCAATTATCAAAATCTATATTAATAGATACAGTTCATAATATAATTCCAATTCCAAGACAAGGAGGGAGTGCTAATAGAGATGCATTTGAAGTTAGAGAAAAAGTTAAAGACTTCATTTGTTCACCTTTAGGACAACTGCCATGGGAATAAGTTATTTTAAAAATCGTTGAATGCAAATCCGTTTAGTAAGGAATTAAAATAAATATAATTTTTAAGCTTTTTTTTTACTTAAATTTAAATGTATTATCATAAATATTTATCTATAGGTACATTGGTTTTAAGTTTTTTCATTATAAAATTACTCAAAATATATAACTATATAACTTTTAATAAATTAGAATCTTATTTTAAATAAATGTTAATTAACTTTAGAAGTATAGGAGTGTTACTTACTTGGCTGATTCATTTCTTGTCCAATTTCCTTCCATATTGATTCCTTAAATGAATAGTCACTATACTTTTTGTGACTTAAATCATATAAGCAATTCCTAGCTCTAACTAGCTCAATTAAAACTTCATTGTCCATTTTTTAAAAATAGTTGTAGACTTGACTAATAAAATACGTAGGTACTAGGTTCAAGGTTATTAACATACTGAATCAATATTGTGATAAATATAATAATTTAATATTATATTATATTTTTATATTCTATTTTAGTATATGAACGTCGTTATCGCCTTCATACCCCAACTCTCCTCGCCCAGACGACAACCGTGCAGACACGACATGCACCGACAAAACATTATTTAATAGAATGTTTGTCGGTACTGCACGGTGCGGTTAGTGTCTGCGCGGTGACGGTCTGTTAAGTGTAAATTGGAATATTATTTTATATTAATTAATAATTTGTCGGTCCGGTACGGGTCTGTGCGGTCCGGTGCCGGTCTGCGAGTGTCGGTTCAGTGTGAATCATCCTTTAAGCTAAGACTATTGAAAATATGCGCAGGAGAATTAAGCTGGAACTTGTGACGTGCCCGGACAGAATGCGGAAGCTGATCAACCGTCCGACGTTCAAGTATTGTACCACTTATAGCGATGATCTCGTGGCGGTGACCCTGGACAACAAAGAAGTGGATTTCTGTAAGCCGATATATATAGGATTTACCGTACTGGAACTCAGCAAAGTTCTAATGTACGGATTTCATTATGACGTCATGAAGCGGCATTACGGGGATAAGATCAACTTGCTATATACTGATACTGGTGCGTATACAACGCGTAATCTTGAATAAAAAAAAAAAATATATTATTATTATTATTCGTTTCAGATTCACTAATCTACCGTGTAGTAACCATTGATTTTTACGACGACCTGGCCAACAATCCGAATCTTATGAGTTTTATGGACACGTCCAATTTACCGGTAGAACACAAGTGCTATACAACTGCTCGGAAACGGATTCTAGGGCTTTTTAAGAATGAAACCAATGGACGTACTGTTTACGGATTCGTGGCATTACGAGCTAAATCGTATGCCTACGATTTGGAACAGGAAATCTGCATCCGCTCAAAGGGTATTATGAAGTACGTAATTAGAAACCACCTCACGTTCGCCGAACATAAGCGATGCTTATTTACCGACGAGCGTGACGACGAGTTCGACGCTAACATGGGGAAAATGATTGCAGCCGATTCTGCGCTTAAAGCTGTCGCTCAAATACATCGGAACTTCTCATCGCCTGCAGGTTTCGTTCGTCGTCATCGTCAACGGTGGTGCCCACCCCTCCGGCGCACTGTTACAGCTACATACCTTTTACGCCGTATAAAGAAAACGTCTCTATACGCTCGTTTAAGCATGAGTTGCGAACAATTAGGTCTATGAAACTCGTCTGAAACAGGGCTGACAATAAACGTTACGTGTTACCGGATAACATTTCTACGTACGCACATGGTCATTACCTTTAAATTATTATTGTTATTACATATCTGTATATTATACAATGCATCCTGTTCAACTATACCTGTATGCATTGTATAAATCTAGAAATGTATCAGTTGTATATTTATGTATAAAAATATGTGTATGTAAAAATTATATTTTATATTAATATAATCATATTATTATATAAACACCGTTTTTATGTATATAATACTGTTTTATCTTTTTGGGGACATACTTATCAGTCAAATACCGCGGTCTTGTTAATATTATCATTTTAAAATCCCCACTTAACTGCACTGTGGTAAGGCGTGGATTGAGTGTAGTGGGAGAAATTATATACACACATATAAGAGGCGGCGCCGTGTACTATATCAGTCAATCTTTGGAGTTAAGCATACACGATTGTGTAGTAATAATAATAATATATATGATTATGGCTCATTTTTCGACTATGTTCCAACTCTATGCGTGGTAAGTTTTATCATTTTTTTTCAACCCTACTTAAATAAAATAAAATTTTATTTTTAGTCACCACAATTATTCCCTGCTACATACAGACTGGAGGACTACACGCTCCAAGTCACGGAATATGGGGTGTTGGATATCAATTATTCGCTAAGATTCGATGTGGGTCAACGTTTCCCCTGGCAGACAAGCGACGCGGATTTATCAAGTAAGTCTTAATAATATGTATAAATAAAATTAATATTTTTTTTAAAAATCACATCTCATTTTCAGACGACGCCCAAATATTTCATCTGAGTGATTACTCCGATGGAGGCAGATACGACGAGACCGGTGTGTACAGAATTGTACATTGGAAAAAAAAATTAATGTAGAAATAATTTTTAGTGTAAATAAAATATTCTGATAAAAATACATAAGACTTCTAATTTTTGATTTTATTTTATTTTTTTAAACATATCAAACAGATTTCTTTAAGTAATAATAATTTTATGGAGAGAGAAGCTCCATAATCAATGTCACTCGAAGTCTATTATGAAACTCCTGTTATGTAAGCCTTTAAATATCAGGCTTACTGCTGGAATGGCACCCGCGTTGTATTTGTCGGTGTCCTACTTTGAAATTACCACCGTCTTGGGTAGGAAAACGTTAATCATCCCCCCGTTCCCCGCGTCGAACAGCACACATGACACAGTCGTCCCAAATTTTGTTTCTA